ATGGGATCAACTCCTTAATTTCTCTTTCTTCTGTCTTGTTGGTGTATAGAAATGCCACTGATTACACAAACATAAAGATTCCATATGCACTGTTGTGTGCCTTTTTTCATTTAATGTTTTTATACTGGAGAGTTGTGATTATCAGTAAATAAATTTGAACGTAAACCAGTTTAATCTCTGTGCAGGCTGTCTGTGTAACAAACTGTGGGTTTGCTGAATCACAGAATAAACCTGATCAATTTTGATAGATATTGTTGAATTGCAATGTAATGGGGGACAGTAACCATTTAGTCCCCAATAACGGTATGTGTTTCTTTCTCAGCCTTGCCACAGAATGTGCTGTCCAATTTCTGGATTTTTGCAATTTAAGTAGAGAAAAATTGTTTCTTGCTGTAGTTTTAATTTGAATTTCTTTTATTGTGAATGAAGGTGAGCATTCTTTAGTATGTTTAAGGTTCTTTTGATGGTGTCTGTGAACTGCTTGTTTATATTTTGTCTTGTTCTTGATTTGTAGCACTTTTTTTTTTTTAATAATATGGCAATGAGTCCATGGTGGCATCAGTTGCAAATATTTTCTCTCCTTTTTTTTTTAGCCATGATCTTTTAAATTTTGTTTTCCCATTATGTAATCCAGTCATTTCTATTACATAGGTAAACTCTCCTAATCCTGTAACTCTTCTCCACATATCAACCCCTTGATTGTTTCCATTGAATGTTTTTGTTGTCAAAGCAGAGCACATGTTTCTCTCCAGCCCACTTAAAATGTGCACACATTGCAAAACTGCTTCATTCATTCATTCATTCATTCATTTATTCAACAACCATTTAAGGGGCTATGAAGTACCAGTACTGTGCAAGGATTTCTGAGAATGCAAAGGAAAATTAAGTATCCCATCCCTAATGGCTCTGTGCTATGTGGGAGAGGCATGAAAGAACCATTTTAGATTATGTGTCAGGTGCTGTAGAAACACTGAGGAAAGCACTACCACAGTGGTTTAAGGGGCAGAGGTCAGGGGTGGCTTTACACATATTACATATACTTGAAAGCTAAACAGAAAAAAAAAACAAAATGGTCTAAGTTATAGAACTGAATTGCATCACGTTAAGAGCAAGATTTTAACTTTTGGGTACATAACCTTATAGTTCTTTTAATTTAATTTTATTATTATTATGTTCAGTTAGCCAACATATAGCACATGATCAGTTTTTTATGTAGTGTTCAACGATTCGTTAGTTGCGTATAACGCCCAGCGCTCATTACAACATGTGCCCTCCTTAATACCCATTGCCCGGTTACCCTATCCCCCCAAGTCCCCTCCCTTCTGTAACCCTCAGTTTGTTTCCAGAGTCTCTCCTGGTTTGTCTCCCTCTCTGATTTCTTCCCATTCAGTTTTTCCTCTCTTCCCCTAATCTTACGGTTCTGTTAGATCTAAATTTCTGTCATCCTGCTCAATTATATAAACCCTGGACTTATCTTTGTACCAGCTTTTCTAAAATCATTTCTATTTCAGGTGGTTTAATATTAGCTGCTGATTACTCTCAACTTGAACTAAGGATCTTGGCTCATTTATCCCACGATCGTCGCCTCATTCAAGTATTAAACACTGGAGCTGATGTTTTCAGGAGTATTGCAGCTGAGTGGAAGATGATTGAGCCAGAGTCTGTTGGGGATGATCTGAGGCAACAAGCAAAGCAGGTGATCTTAGTGAACATGCTTAATATATATGAGAATTTTAATGATTAGGGTTCTAGAGGGGAGGGGGGTGGGGGATGGGTTAGCCTGGTGATGGGTATTAAAGAGGGCACGTACTGAATGGAACACTGGGTGTTATACGCAAACAATGAATCATGGAACACTACATCAAAAACTAATGATGTAATGTATGGTGGTTAACATAAAAAAATAAAAAAATTTTAAAAAAATTTAAAAATTGCCTTGATCATTTTCAGTTGAGGCATGATTTCTCCATCTGTGGATCTTTCAAACCACATTCACCTGAGCCTGTCTCATGGCATTCATTATACTTTCCTTCATGGAGTCAGTAGAAAGAATTGATAGACGTAGTCTGAGAGGCTCCTTCATGTGAGGAAAGCCATCTACATTAATGGTAGATATTGTGGTGCTGCTAGTTATTTATGTGTATGTGTGTGTATTTTAAAAATGTCCTTCTAGTCTGTAAACATATTTTCATCTTTTTATTTTTACAGGTGTTCTCTAAATGTTTATTGAAAAAAACTGAGCTGTGGATTATAATAAACTGATAGCTTTTTCGTTTTTTGAGGTCATTGGTTAGCTAATCCACATATGAAACTTTATATTGTCCTTGGACTTTTCAAGTGGGTCCGTATGAGTTCCTACTCCTGTATGACTGTCATGCACAGAGAAAGTGAAAGGCCACATTTCCACCATTTCCTGGCCTCCATTGACACTGATACTTTTTTTCACCACTTGGCCTATGGGAAATCTGATGCCATTTTTGAGAGAGTAGGCTTGCTGGCTGAGGCAAAGGAACATCATTCCCACCTTTAAGATCCTGCTGTGTTAGTTTTGCCTTTATACTTCTAGTTACTCATGGCTGTAATTCTTGACTGGTTCGTTAGGCATGAAACCCTTCCTCTCGCCATTGCCTCTTCAGCACCAGCACTTGGTTCTTCTACTCTTTAGAAAACCAGCTTTGCTCTCTCTGTTTAATAATCTCTGGGTCCTGCATTCAGCAAGAATTGAACCCTGGGTAAAATAGGTAATGTTCAAATATTTAATATTCATAATAAACCCATGAAATAGGTATTTTATATTCCTATATACTCCATTTTATATAGGAGTAAACTGACGCACCAAAAGCTAGTAATTTGCTTAAGGTTATACAGCTATAAGTGGTGGAGCCAGGATGAGCTCAGAATGCCAGAACTTAGACATTATGACTTTATAACCTAAACACTCATCCACTGATGATATCTGCCTCTAGTTCATAAGTTCTTGCATGATTTAGTAGTGTTTATGCTATACTCAATCACCATGCTCTGAACTGTCTGCTCCTTGGGTCTGGCTGAGATCTCAGCCAGTGCTATCTACTACCCAAGTTTAAAAAAAAAAGAAAAGAAAGTGGGAGTCACAGTAAAATAAAATGTAGAAATACCAAAAAGGAAAAGATGAGGGGAAAAAAATCTTTCTCAATGTATTAAAAAAGACAGGGAAAGGATAAAAACTTCTGGCTGTTTTTATCACATTAAAAGTAGCTTGGAACTCTGATAATCATTTTTTGCAAGTTATCTTTTAAAATTATATTTAATGATATTTATATGTGCTTGCTTTATGTCAGACAGTTTCCTGAACACTTAGAAGAAATAACTTGGTAATCTTCACAATTCCATGATGCAGGTATTACTGCATGTAGTCTGCATTTTATGGATGCAGAAATTGAGGTACAAGACTTTAGGTAGCTTCTGCAAGATAATCCTGGATAAATGCTGGAACTAGGATTTAAACCCAGGCAATACTTATTATTAAATTACAGTTTCCTACTGACCTATTTAGACCATTTCCCTCCACTACTCCCAAAATTTCCTCAGGAATTTGTTTAACCCAATTGAATTCTGCAATTGTGGGATATCAGGTGGTGGTGAGGTGGAAAGCATATTTATTTCCAAAGAAGTATTCCCTGTTATCCAACCACAAAGCCTCCTCTTCCTGCTCTATCCTATGCAAGAGCCAGGAGAGGAATGTTTGTAATGCTTCTCTTTCCTGACTCCTGGGCACTTTTCTAAGTAGGAGTTTATGTGGTAGGAGTAGAAAGCTGCTCTGAAGACTACTGGATACATGACAAAGAGTCAGAAATAAATCTTCCCTTTTAAATCGCTAGGATTGGTTTCTTAAAACACACACATTCACATTTCTTCATGTTCTTCCCCTTCCTCCCCCAGCCCCAAAGTATTGTTAAAAGGCAGAAAAGAGAAAAGATGTTCACTGGATATCAGGTTCTATAAATCTAACCTACCAAAAGCAGATCTAATCATTTCTTTGACACACTATGAAATAAAAAATTTACCAAATTTCAATCTCCATCAGCTTTTTATATTTAGTTTATGTAGTTATGACCTTTAATTTACCTACTGAGTGTGATCACTCCTTTTCAGATTTGCTATGGAATCATTTATGGAATGGGTGCTAAATCATTGGGAGAGCAGATGGGCATTAAAGAAAATGATGCTGCTTGCTACATTGATTCCTTCAAATCCAGATATACAGGTAAAGAAACCTTAAATATTAATTATCTTCTAGATACCATTCAATTATCTTGCCATATTAATTGAAAAAAATAGTGTTACAAATTTTCTGTTAACATTTCTATTACTCGGAAGTTTTCACCAGGTATTGTTAATTAAATAACATCAACCTTATGATTATTTACTAAGATGGTCTTTTTTCATAAAAATAGAAACAGAAATGGAATAACAAAATCCAATTGATGTATATGCTACTTTGTCATTGTGAACATACCATAAAATCTTGGAATTGTGCTATGCTTTAGGTTTAGATAGCTTTAATTTGAAACAGTAAACCATTGATTAAATGTACCAGAAACTATGAAAGAACAAGAGCAGTTTGAGTATTATTATTTTAAATTATCTTTTCCTTTGGCAATTTATTCAGGTACAATTTACATACAGTAAAATTTACCCTTTATAGATGTATATTTGTATAAGTTTTGACAAATGCATGGAGTCATATAACCTACACCACAACCAAGATATGGAATCATTAACATATGATCCCAGAAAGCTATTTTATACCCTTTGTAATCAGCCCTGACCTCAGTCCCCAAAAAAGAAAACTTTATTCACACATGACATGATCTTATACATAGAAAATCATATGAATTCTACAAAAACAACTATTAGAACAAATAACTAAATTTAGAAGTGTCCGACTATACAAGGGTTTTTTTTTTTTTAAGATTTTATTTATTTATTAGAAAGCACGAGCGGGATGGGTGTGCAGAGGAAGAGGGAAAAACAGACTTCCTACTGAGTGTGGAGCCTGATGTGAGGCTGGATCCCGGGACCCGGGGATCATGACCTGATCCAAAGTCAGCTGCTTTAGCCCACTGAGGCACCCAGGCACCCCACCCCCCATAAAGGTTAATTTGTAAAAATCAGTTGGATTTTTGTATACCAGTAATTAGTGAATGGAGTAAAAATAAAACCATTATGATAACATCACAATACATGAAATACATGGGATAAATTCAACAGCATATGCAAGACTTTACTGAAAACTCTAAAATAATCCTGAGAGAAGTTGAAGAATACTTAGATAAATGTGAGGTTTACCATGTTAATTTATTAGAAGGCACAATATTATTATGATGGCAGTTTTCTTTAAATTGTTCTATAGATTCAGCTTAATTCCAGTCAAAATTTCATTAGACTTTTGTGTAGAATTTGACAAGCTGATTCTAAATTTATATGGAAATTCAAAGGGCCTAGAATAACTAGGAAAATTTTGGGGGTGGGGGAAGTACAGTGTTGAGTACTAACACTCCCTGGGTTCAAAACTTAGTATAAAACTATAATAATCAAGATAGGCATAAGGGTAGACATGGAAAACAATGGGTCATAATAAAGCGTTCAGAAATAGACCTATACATATATGGTGAATTGATTTTCAACAGTTACCATGGTAATTCAGTGGAGGAAAGATGGTCTTGTCAACAATTGGTTCTAGAACAACTGGATACCAGTATGGGAAAAAAATGAACTTCAACAATTATCCAATACTATATTCAAAAGTTAGCTTGATATGGAGCATAGACTTAGAAGTAAAAGCTAAAACTATAAATCTTCCAGAAGAAAATAGGGGAAAAATACTTTGTGACATTGAGGTAGGCAAAGATTTCTTAGGTGATAATTACACTGAATTAAACATAAAAGATAAACATTGATAAAAGACACCATTAAGAAAATCTAAGGCAAGCCACAAAAGAGAAGATATTTGCAGTTCTTATTGTCTAATGAACTTGCATCCAGAATATATAAACAAAACTCTTATAACCCAATGCTGAGAAGGCAAACAATCTAATAAAATAAAGGTCAAAAGATTTGAACAGACACTTCACAAAAGAAGATATATGAATGGCCACATCAAATGTTATCATGATTAGTCATCAGGGAAAAGCAAATTAAAACCACAAAGAGATACCATTACAAAAACGCTAGAATGGCTAAAATAAAAAAACATTGTATGTCTTTTACATTGCTGGTAGAGTTGTAAAATGGTACAACCACTTTGGAAAACACTATGAGACTTTCATATAGAGTGAAACACACAGTTAATTATGTGATCCTGCAATTTTACTATTGGGTATCCGTCCAAGAAAAATGAAAACATATCCAAAGAAAGACTTGTATGTGAATGGGATAGCAGTTTTATTCCTGACAACCAAATGTCTATGAGCAGGATCATGGGTAAACAAATTTTGGTATATCTCTGCAATGGAATACTACTTAGCAAAAGAAAGCAAGCTCAAATGAGAACATACAGTATAATTCAATTTTTATGAATTTTAAGAACATGAAAAACCAAGATACAGTGTCATAAAGCAGATCAGTGAGAGTTTGAGGCTGATAATGGGGAGCTGACTGTAAAGGTGATAAAAAATGTTTCATATCTTGCAGTGTACATTTGTTAAAATGCATCTAACTGTTCACCTAAAGTGGGTTCCGTCTACTGTATGTAAACTATACCTCAGGACTGATTTTTTTTTTAAGTTTTTATGTGAATTCCAGTTACTTAACAGACAGTGTAATATTAGTTTCAGGTGTACAATACAGTGATTCAACACTTCCATACATTACCTGGTGCTCATCACAGTGTCCTCTTTAACCCCCTCACCTGTCTCACCTGTCCCCCACTCACCTCCCCTCTGGTAACCATCAGTTTGTTCTCTATAGTTGAGAGTCTGTTTCCTGGTTTGCCCCCCCTCCCCCACTCGCTCTTTCCTTTGTTTGTTTGCATTTTTAAAGGTGTTCTTTCAACCTCTGAATATTTGAGGGCCTCTGACAGGAGTCAGGTAAGAGAATTTGTAGAGATGTGGCCTCTTCAATTTCATCCTTTTCTTTGCTCTTCACTCAACAATATCACAGTAATTCTTAAACAGAAAAAGGTGAGAGCCTTAATTGCTTTCTGAAATTCTTATGCTGGTGGTTGAATATTACCAAGAGCTTCAGTTGGCGAAGTTTTCTCCCTTTCCTTTCATCCACAGTCTCCTCAAATGTCTCTCCTGTGCCAGCCACACAACAGAAATCCTCAAATGAGGGGTTTTAGTTAGGAGATGTTAGTGTTTATTATTTAGGATGAGAAAGCAGAGATTGCACATATGAATAAAGATAGATCAGCACAGTCTCTATACTTGATTGTGTTTTAAATACCATAGAGAAGACCTCTCTAACTCAGAGACAGGAATAAGCAGTGAAGACATTGACCTGCCTAGAACAACAGACTCACCTTGAAGATCTATAGGACATAATAATGAACCTATATTGCAAAGTATGCATGCTGGTATAGGGAATATGAATGTGTTTGAATAGTATACTATACCTAGTCTTTTTAAATTTTAAAAAGTGAGTTGTATATATTCCTAATGAAGTATTTATTATTCATGTATTAATTTCAACTAGGTCCTATTTAGATTATAGCTTAGATGCTAACAAGGAGCTGTTAGAATATTTTAAGCCTGGAAGTGATAAGACCAAGTAAAAGAAGATTAACACAATCAAAGAGCAGAAGAAGCCTGTGAAAAGTAACATGGAATTGTCTTAAGATCCTAGGTTTTAGTGCCTCTGTTGTTCTGGACTTTAGTTTCATATTTTTTGTTGGTGATAGATTATGTCATTTCTAAAGTCCCTTTTGTTTCTGAGTCTACAAAAAGTGAATGAAACTTTATATGCAAAGTTTTGATGATGTGATATAGTGTGAAGAATCATGGTAGGGTGTTGGTATATTTCATTATATTGAAGCTAGTGAATGAGCTTAGGAATGGACTTTGGTTGTAAATATTTTTGTATTTTCTTTGTAGGGATTAATCATTTCATGAGAGAGACAGTGAAGAATTGTAAAAGAGACGGGTTTGTTCAGACCATTTTGGGAAGGCGTAGATATTTACCAGGAATCAACGACAACAACCCTTATCATAAAGCTCATGTATGTTGAAATGTCTGGATTTTTAACTTAATATTTTAATGACATATACTTTTTCCACAAAGACTAAATATTACTAACTTTCCTTTTAGGGATCAGTAGCCTATTAATTGGATCTTCTGTTTCACTAAAAACTTTGGAGTAATGGCACATGCCTGTATTTGCTGAACACAGTCCTTAGGAGACTAATGTAAATATGGGTTCACTTAATAATAGTTCAAATACTTTAAAGATGTTCTATTTCAGTAAACCAGTTACTTGTTAGTTTTGCTAATAATTTATAAATTTAATTCTTACATTTGGTAATTGTTCTTTGTTTCAGATATCATATACCAGTTTGTCACATCACACCAAATTACCAATGTTTTCAGAGATTAGCCAGTCATTAAATGTGGTTCATTCATTTTTGGTTCATTCTACTGGTTTATTTGTTTTAAAAGCACTGGCTCAAGAGAGGTTATTAGGATATCCAAAATATTGAAAAAGGCTATTTTTAACACCATTTTAAGTATTTGTTGATAGTGCTCAAATTATGATTAAAACTCTGAAATCATTGGGATCCACAAAAGTATTCTATGCATCTGAACATTTAAATTTCTATTATAGTCCACATCTTCCTATTTTAACTGCTTGTATTTTATCTTCTCCCATACTTTTGCATGTCAGTGCTCACTACACATGGTATGTACTGAAAATACCCAGTCCCATACTGCTAAACTTCTGTCTGGAGCTAGAAACCTTCAGAGCACTAATGCTCTTAGGGACCATGGAGGAATAGTTGGATTTTTGTTATTTCTTCACTCTGTAGCCTCCCATATATAACAGATATCAAGTATTTATCAGGCTTTTACCATATCTTTAAATGAGTTGTCACTTAGGGGTAGATAATTTTCTACTGCTTAGATGGAACCAGCTAGTGGAAGGCTTTTAATGGCAGGCTTAAAAATTTAGACTTGATGTAACAGGAGTTATATTTCTTGCGATTTACATTATGAAAAATGGCAGATAGAGTTATTATAAATGAACCATGTAAGTTTTTGAAAATTAATTAATTTTGCACCTAAAGATGTGAGAGTAAGACTTTTCATGCCAAATCCTTAGGAGGCAAAGTTCTGATTCATTACATTTTTGCTGAGAAAAAAAGAAAATTCCAACCCTCTGAATTATGAATAAACATAGGCAGATTTAATTTTTGGGTTTGGTTTGGTTTGGTTTGACTTTTTGTTTAAACCTTTATTGTATTGAAAAATATACATAGGGAAAGTACAGGGAACAAATGTAAATTTCAGTAAATTATCACAGAGCTGCACCTGTGTAACCACTCAAGTCAGATAGAAAGTACCTTGATGGTTCCTAATCACCACGTACAGCCTTCCCAGAAATAATTGCTATCATCATTTCTAAGCCGATAGTTTTATGTATTTTTGACCTCTTTCTACATCATGTGTATATATTCTTGCGCCTAGCTTCTTTCACTCAAAATTGCATAGTTAAGTCATTCGTGTTTCATTTGGAGTAGCTGTTTTACTATATTATAGTGTATTCTATTATGTGAATATATCAGTTTATCCATTTTTCCACTGATGGGCATTTAGGTTTCCAGTCTGGGGTTATTATGAATCTTGCTGGTTTGAAAATTCTTGTCCAAGGTCCTTGGTGCACATATGTTTCCATTTATGTTCAGTAAAGACCTAGTCATAGAATTGCTGCTGCTTCAGTTTTAGTAGATAAAGACAAATGGTTTCTTATGGTGGTTGTAGCAATTGTCCTCTTATCAGAAGTGTGTGCAAGTTCTCTTTGCTCTGCATCCTTGCCAACATTTGCTATTAAGATGATATAATTTTAGCTATTCTGGTGAGTTTAAAGTAGTATCTTGTTAGTTTTATTTTGCATTTCCTTGAATACTAATGAGGTAAAGCAACTTAACAAATATTTAATAGCCATTAGTTATTTTTTCTTGGGAAAGTGCTTTTTCAAGCTTTCTTGTTCATCTTTTGTTGTCCTTTTCTTTTTAAAGAGTTTATTTATTTGAGAGAGAGAGAGAGCACAAGTGGGGGGGAGGAGCAGAGGGAGAGGGAGAAGCAGACTCCCGAGCAGGGAGCTGGATGCAGGGCTCTATCCCAGGACTCCGGGATCATGACGTGAGCTGAAGGTAGACACTTACCCAACTGAGCCACCCAGGCCCCCCTGTCTTTTTCTTATATGTAGGAGCTCATTATTGATTACATGTTTGGAAAATATTCTCTCCCACACTGTTTGGCCTTTTCATTCTTATCAGTAACTTTAGATGAGGAGAGGGAATTAATTTGGTTTATTCTTAAAATTTTCATTGAGAAATAACATGTGCCATAAAGGCTACAAATCTTAAGCATAAAGCTGGAAGTTTTACATGTGTATACCCATATAACCACAATCCTGGTCATGATATAGAACTTTTCCAGCACCCAGAAGGCTTCTTTATAGTCCCTCCAAATCAATACTGTCCACTTCCCACTCCAGCACACATAAAAAACTATAGGTTAGTTTTGTATGAACTTGAATTTTATTTAAGTGCAATCATACCATATGTACTCCTGGGTCTGACTTTTTTCACTCAGATATAGGTCTGTGAGATTCATTAGTGTCATGTGCAGCTGTAGTTCATGTCTTTATTTAGCTGACATTGTGGGGACATACCAACAATTTATTTATCTGTTCTAATATTGGCAGACATTTTGACTATTTCCAGTTTTTAGCTATCATTAATAAAGCTGCTATGAACATTCTTGTATGTGTCTTTTGGTGAACATATGCATCCAACTTCATTACCTTTAGAGTGGAATTGGTGAGTCATAGAATAAGCACATTTATACCTTTAGTATATACTGCCTAATAGTTTTACAGAGTGGTTATTCCAGTTAACATTGCCATCAGCTCTGTTTATCTACATTCTTGCCATTGCTTGATATCATTGGTCCTTTTAATTGTAGCCATTCTGGTAACCTCACTGTGATTTTAATTTGCCTTTCCCTGATGACTAGTGATGTTGAGATCCTTTTTTGTTTATTGACCATTTGGATATCTTCTTTTGTGGAGGGTCTATTTAAATCTTTTGTCTTTTTTTTTTTTTTTGAGTTGTCTGTTTTTAACTGATTTATGAGAGTCCTTTATATATTCCAGATATGAGCCCTTTGCTTATATGGATTTATCAGTCTTTTGTATTATTGTAGTATTTCCTTGATCTGTTTAACAAAGTTTTCTCTACCCCAATGTCAAGAAAATATTCTCTAGTAGCTTTTTGTTTTGCCATATACATTTATATCTACAATCAACCAGGAATTGGTTTTTATGTATTTTGAGAGACTGAGAGTCAAGGTCTTTCTACCTCCCCACTCAAGGATATACAATTGTCCCTAACTATTGAAAAGACTGAGCTTTCCCGCCTCTACTTTTCAGTGCAACCTTTGCCACAAATTAGATTTCCAAATATGGATGTGTCTGTTTTTGGGCACATTATTTTTGTCTGTTGTATTTGTTCATCCTTTAGACAGTGCCACACTGCCTTCGTGATGCAGCTTTGTAAGATGTCTTGATATATGGTAAAGTAAGTCTTCTTACCTTGTTCTTTTGTTTGTTTTTCAAGAATATTTGCCTATTCTTGGTTCTTTGCATTTCCGTATAAGTTGTAGAAGCAGCTTGTGAGTTTCTACACAAACACAAAATCCTGTTGGGATTTTTTTGAGATTGCCTTGAATTCATAGATCAAGATGGGATTAATGGACATATTTATACACTTGAGTTTTCCAATCCATGAACATGATGTATCTGTCCATTTATTTAGGTCTGTAGTTCTTAAATTCTCTTAATGTATAATTTTGGGGAAGAGATCGTATATGTTTTTTATTAGATTTATAGCTAGGTATTTGAAAAATTTTGATGCTGTTGCAAATGGTATATTTTTTTATTCTTTTCCTTCTTTTACATTTTCTAACCCTTTGCTGCTGGCACTTAGAAATGTAATTGTTTTTATTTTTCTTTTGTCTAGAAGCCTTGCAAATATTACTTACTAATCCCAAAAATTTATCTGTAGATACTTCTAGATATTCTATCTTCACAATTATCATCTGTAAAGTAGTTTTATAACTACCTTTCCAAACGTTATTCCTTTTATTACTTTTCCTTGACTTACCAGCTAGGGCATTGTTCAATATAAGTAGTGATAGTGAGCATCTTTGCCTCTTTTCTGATCTCATAGGGAAATTTTAAACATTTATTACTAAGTAGAACTCCCCTTTAGGTTTTTTTTAATATGATTTTTTTAAATTTTATTTTATTATGTTATGTTAGTCACCATACAATACATCATTAGTTTTTGAAGTAGTGATCCACGATTCATTGTTTTCGTATAACACCCAGTGCTCCATGCAGGATGTGCCCTCCTTAATACCCATAACTGGACTAACCCATACCCCCACCCCTGTCCCCTCTAAAACCCTCAGTCTGTTTCTCAGAGTCCATAGCCTCTCATGGTTCATCTCTCCCTCTGATTCCCCTTCATTTTTCCCTTCCTTCTCCTAATGTCCTCCATGCTATTCCTTATGTTCCACAAATAAGTGAAACCATATGGTAATTGACTTTCTCTGCTTGACTTATTTCACTTAGAATAATCTCCTCCAGTCCCATCCATGTTGATGTAAAAGTTGGGTATTCATCCTTTCTGATGGCTGACTAATATTCCATTGTATGTATGGACCACATCTTCTTTATCCATTCATCTGTTGAAGGGCATCTCGGCTCTTTCCACAGTTTGGCTATTGTGGAAATTGCTGCTATGAACATTGGGATGCATATGGCCCTTCTTTTCACTACATCTATATCTTTGGGGTAAATATCCAGAAGTGCAATTGCTGGATCATAGGGTAGCTCTATTTTTAATTTTTTGAGGCACCTCCACACTGTTTTCCAAAGTGACTATACCAACTTGCATTCCCA